AAAAGTTGATTAGTTCAAGACATCGCGTTCACTAAGCAACAAGTAAATCTGACAACATTTTACTATGGAAGGTTCAAAGCCATAAGCTACCTCTCCAGATGCAATAACAAATCGCTTGGACTTTGAATGTGTCTGCATGCATTAATTTCATTCATGTGGGGGATTGTTGGAAATTCAGGGTGTTAGACTCAATTTTGGTTGATTATTTAAGTGGATTAAATTTAGTTTCTCAAAATTAAATGAATGAGAATTTAATAAAATCACTTAATATAATAAATGGAAAATAAAGAAAGTGAAATGCCACATTGAAAAAGATGGAGGTGTTTAAACACCTATTAAATTGAATGCGTGTATAGTTAATGAGAAAAGGTGTGATACATTTTCATGAAATTATTTTCCTAAGAGTTGTGACTTGTGGTCATAACCTTTGAAAATCTATAAATAGATTCCAAAATCCACCATTTGATTCATTCATAATACACATGGAATTCAATACATTAATTGAATTCACTTCTCGTCATATCATATCATTGCATGTTGTTGTATTTATCAAGTCCATTTCTTTGTGTCTTATAAAGTCCCAAACGTCGTTTCGTTCGTCGTGTTCCAATAATTATTGTGCTGCTTTGTTGGAACTGAAATAGTCGTTGTATCTTGGGAGACGATTGCCGTAAACCGAGAGCACTGCACGGGGCAAATTTGTCTTAAGGAGAAAGAACCAAGTTCTTACCTCAACTATATTTTTTTCTTGTCAAACTTCTGTCCAAAAATTTGTTCGTTCTCATTTCGAAATACACACACCCAAATAACATAAACTATACTACGTACTCCTCTAACTTTTGGCTCGCACTAAAGAGAAAAATAGCACGCAGAGTTCAGATCACAATGCTCATTGGAGTTAAACGTCAGGTATACATCATGCCTAGTACTAATATACATACATATACATATATATATATATATATATATATATATATATATATATATATATATATATATATATTATTTTTTTTCATTAAAGAATTATGGGCATCGTTAAAAATCTTGTGGTTATTTATCATTTAGAGTTCAAATAAATAATTTCAAATAAATCATTATATTTATCATTTAGAGTTCAAATAAATAATTAATGATGATGGTATTTTTGTATTTACTATGTTATTTTGGTATAATATGCATATTATAATATTAACTAATTAATACTAACTTCACATATATATACTATATTATATTATTTGATAAAAGTAAGCAAATGCAAAGTAAAAATAAAGAAAGATTCATCCATAAAATATTTGTTGGGCCAAGGGATGGGGTTCTGGAGGCAAGGAATTTCACATTTATGGTAAAAAATGAAGAAAGATGAAACTGATGCATTTACTCTATTTGTTAATTAAATAATTAACGATAGAAGCATGATAAAAATTAAAACCCATCTATTCATTTGCTCTATTAATTACTTAGTATATATTATTCAATAAGAAATGCATGAACATTGAAATTATATCATCACAAAAAACTTTTTCATCTATTTTATTTTTTGGAAAAGAAGTCGAATATATCAACCAATAGATGCTAGTTCAACAGGGAGAGTAGTACCCTCATCACAATTCACAAGTATTGCCCAAACATTAAGCGATATCGCTAGAAGATTGCCTGATCGCTTAACGAAGCTAAAAACACACGAATTAAAAAGCCTAGTCAGCTGCAAACTATTCTAAATTAAAGCGCCGAAAGATGAATATTCAAAATCCGAGTCTCGAACTGACAAAACCACCTGTAAACAATCTCCCTCAATGACAATGTCTGGCCACCCCTGTGACTGGATCTATGAGGTCCGCAACTCGGTCCGGATATCCTGTTTGCAGCCATGGATCAGCCCAAATCGAGGTGTCATTGTCGTTTCCAATCCAACGTCTAAGACCTGTTTGCAGAAAAGGCCCTAAGACTGATGCAGAAAATTGGCTCTAATTGATATCAAGGCTAGAGTATTCGAGAACCAAAAATTGGTGCATGGTAAATGAAATTAGATTTTAGGGAAAACGAGGGATTAGGTATAATAAAATAGTATAGTCCCAATTTATAATTGACAAATTGTAAGCAAACTCATAAATTTTTTGTTGAATTGTGTGACCCCCTAAACTTAGTTTAATGCCTATTATGCCATTTTTGTCCATGTGTACGTTTCTCCTACTTTCTCTCTCTTCTTCTTATTTTTCTCTTATTCGTCATTTTATTTTCTCCATTTATTTCTCTCTCATCCTTTTTCCCTAGCTCTACACGTTACGTATTTTTCTTTATTATTCTTCTCCCTCTCTCCTCTTTCATCTCTCCTCTCTCTATCCCCATTTTCTCATTCTGGTCTCTCTGTTTCATTTTTTCTCTTTATTTTTCTTCATTTCTCATCATTACTTTGCATTTTCTTTTACATCTCATTTTTTATCGTTTAAATCAATCTATTTTCTACTCAATGAATACCATATATCATGATTTTCATCGAAGAATAGATTTTAATTGCCGGTATTCCATTTTACAATGCCATAGTATCTTAAACTGAAAAATATCCAAAGTAAATGATGTTATTGATAACACATATATTTTCTTATCGTTTTTTGTATATTTATAATTATAATTACTCATAAAAATATGAGGAATGAATCAAAATTACCAAGTAAATACCGAAATATGCAGCAATTAAGTTGGAAGGTAAATAATTCATAAAGTTGGATTAAGGGCCCATTTGGCTAAGCTTATTTTAAACCGTCGATAAACTCTAACATCGAATAAGCTGTTTTCAAAGCTGATAATTTATTACGTCTTAATTTTAATAGTGAATTTGCAAGCTATTTTTACTCATTATAAGATCTTAAATAAAAAACAGTGGCTCGGGATAATTTTTAGAAAATATCTTATATGGTCTCCAACAACTTATTTTTTTGAATATTTTAGATCTTTTGAAAAAAAAAATTACCAAACACTTCAGAAGAGCTTATAAGCTCATAAATATTTTATAAAGTCTTGTTAAGAGCCGATAAGCTCAGCCAAACACCCTCTAAGTTTGGGCCATGGAAGATAATTAACCGGGCCGAAGGATAAAACGTGGCATAGTGCATAATGTTGGAACTTTTATGATTTCCAATAATTAATATTGAGTGATATTAATTAAATTATGTAAAGACTAATTTCATTTATTTACTTTATCATAATCCTGAAGTAAAGTGAACGAAAATTCCCTTGATTAAATGATTAAAGTTCAAAAGATGTGCGCTCGATGTGATCGAATATTCGTGCAAATATTTGACAACCGATCGTTGTACCTTGGAGACTACCGGGAAGAGACTGTGCACGTTGACAGCCAGAAATATTGTCTTAAGGAAATTGCTTTGGCAAACCTCGATCGTTCTTTGTGTTTTTCAGAATTTCTCTTTTCGACAAACAAGTAAGTATTTTTCGTTTACGCAGATTGTTATTAATTACACCAACAATCTTAAGACAACAGTCAATTTCTGTGTTTTATAACTTCTGCCGTAAATTTCTTATGCTGTGAGAATTTTGCTTCTGGTTTACAAAAGTTTGTGTAAAACTTCTTTATGCTCAAAACTTGGGACTTAATTATTATTTTGTAAACAAAGTCAAACTTGTTTTTTATTATGTATTAGATTAGCATTCTAGAAAGAGGAGTCTGACTCTAAAATCTCGGATAGTGATGCATTCAATACCTTGGGTCACTATTTTATACTAATATATTGCTTTTTGAATTTTTGATTTGATAAAAATTATGTATTGATTTACTGTTTCGTCTAAATCAATTTAACCAATCCTGAGTACCTAATTTTGAATAAAATATGTATTCTTTGTTTCAACATTAGAATAAAGTTTGTTTTCGGTACTGAGAAAATAAATATAGAATTTTGAATTTTCATATATTTTGAATTCAGCTATTTTAAACTGTTGCTTGAATAAATTCGTGTTGATGCTTTCAATCAATGATGCCACTCCTAAGATTATCGGTGTGGCCGAAAAACCAAACAAATTCACGGGCACGAATTTTGCTACTTGGAAGAACAAAATGTTCTTCTACCTTACTACCATGAATTTGGCTATGTTTCTCAACGAGGAGCCACCTAAGGTGAAGGAAGGAGAAACTCCCGAAAATAACAAGAAAGTCTTCCTAGCCGTTAATGCGTGGAGTCACTTTGATTTCCTATGCCGTATGCCGTAACTACATCTTGATATGCTTGGACGAACAGTAGTACAAAGTTTATAGTCCTATAAAGACTGCTAAACTTTTGTTGATAGTTTGTCCAAGAAATACAAGTCTGAAGATGCGGGTTATATGAAATTTATAGTGGACAAATTCGAATTTTATCGAATGGTCGATAGCAAAACTGTAAATGAGCAAGTAAACGAACTCCAACTCATGATCTATGATATTCTCGTCGAGGGTCATGAGGTAAGTAAATCCTGTCAAGTTGCTGCCATAATTGAAAAGTTTCCACCGAGTTGGACGGAGTTCAAACACTACCTAAGGCACAAGATGCGGGTATTAATAACACTGATTGTTTGGATCAAATTCAAGTATCAAATGTTCATATGTCATTATGATTGTATAAGTTTGGGACCAACGATATATTCACTCTTTGTATGCAAAAATTAAAACCTTCGATGTTTAGTTTTTTCACTTATTTCAGCACTTGCACCATACAAATTAGTTTTCTTTTTTAATATTTTCTACTTCTTTATATTACATACCAACAATTGATTTTACTATTTCGAGAACCGTTTTATTATTAAGTATTTGTTTTTATGATGAATACCCCGTTCACGCACTAGTGTTTCACTAGTTGAGGTTAAATTAAATTAAATGATGAAATTAGAACATATTAAAATATGATGGGTATTTTAACCTTTTACACATATCTAAACAATGTGTGGACTTTTTTATAGAAGAGTTTTTTGTCTGAACTCTTTTATAAATAAGTATGGGATGATGGCACTCTAAATTTATGTGAGCATTAACCAGACTATTTTATAATTAAAGAAAACAAATGATGATGCCCCATTTATGAAACAAATTAAAATAGCATCCAAGTTGAGAAAATTAGTACTCAGAATTAATCCATCAATAATGGAAGACATAGACATTGTACTCAACAACAGCACCACCATTCTTCTGCATATTGTTCTCGTGAGAACTCGCCCGAGCATACCCTCGAGCGAATCGGAAAACGCCACTGCCCCCGACGATGGGCATCTCCCTCACATCGGAGTACACCGCGTTCCGCCCCAATATACTGAGAGTGCTACCGTTGAACTTCCCCTCAGTAAACACATAGTTCAACACCATCAGAAGCCCCAAGTTGTTCAAATCCGCCGAGGCGTACATCCCCTGCGCTCTTCCCACAATTTTGGAGCTTATATTCGGGCCCAGAGTCAGAGCGTCGTCGATAATCTCCACAAAGCCGAATCTTGTGGCGGAGGAGTTGGTGATGGCGGATTCCGCCACTCGGAAGGCGGTTGGGTATCGACCCCTGACAATGTCGTGGAAGTAGAAGTGGAGGTGGCTGAGCTTCTCTGTTTTCAGGCCCATTTCTTCCATGGACACTTCTCTCGAGAATTCTAGCGACTTAATCGGGGTGATCATGAAATTTGAGGAGAGGATTAGAATGGCGAAAATGGTGGATGTGATTTTCAGGATGCAAATATTATTGGCGGCCATGTTGAATTAATTTGACAAGAAACAACCAACAATATGAAAAGGTGCCCAAACAAGGGGCTTATTTATATACACATCATATCATATACATATATTCAACTGAGACTTCTCCAGTGGGAGACAACAGATAATTCCCATTCCATGCACAATTCTTTATTAGTCCTGTAAGGGGATGAATAGAGCAAGTGAGCCTGTGTCAATTGACCTAGGTTCGAATTTCATTGTCAATGGTCGGAAGGTCGAATTTGTCACACATGGTTAGTCTAATGTTAATATGGTTTACATCTCTCGTGTGATTTGCAATCAATTATACGAGAGTGTTGGTTTATCCAGTACACTCATATGGTTAGCTGCAGGTTCCTTCATTAAAAGAAAATTAAGAACTTCTATGATTAGCTGCAGGTTCATTCATTAAAAGAAAATTAAGAAAAAATCTCTATTACTTATAATTTATAAGTTTCATATATGAAACTTTTAAATTTCTTTATTATATAACTATGGACAATTAATTGAGTATTTCATGTAATAATTGATGGAGACCACCATTGTACCCTTTGGGCTATAAGCCACACAGAATAAACTTTAATATGTACTCCTCTAACTTTTGGCTCGCAATAAAGAAAAAAAATAGCACGCAGATAAAGGTTAGGCTTTACAATTAGCACTTTACAGTAGGCTTGGGCTGAATAGTTAAACGTCATGGATACATCATGCCTAGTAATAATCCCATTGGAGTTGCAGAGTTCACCATCACAAATGCCCAATATATATATATATATATATATATATATATATATATATATTTTGGTCCTTAAACTAGAAATGCCCTCAAGTTGGGGTTAATTTGTAATTTCTGGAAATCCACCGTCCTTACTAAAACAGTTTTGAAAATTGTAGAATCACCCTACTTACCCCATCTTCCCGGTCACTCCACCCAAATTGCTAATTTAACTCCAAAGTGGATCTCTCTTGAAATATCCAAAATATCCACCACCAACGCAGTATGCTTCGACTCCTCCTCAGCTATAATCGTGTGTGACTCATTTACGAAAATTTGCAATTCCGAGTTTAAAATTTTAACGATTCAATTCGTTCATACCTAAGTCGATTCAAAAGTTAAAAAAAAAATTAAATATCAACAAATCGATCAAATTTTGCAATTTACGATTTATGAAAACTCTAATTTATTATATTATTTATAATAAACTTGTGATGATTACTTTTTTTGTCCCTATATTATATACCATTTTTAATTTTGGTCCTTAAACCGGAAATGCCCCCCAAGTGGAGGTCAATTTGTAATTTCAAAAAATCCACCTCACTGGGTCAAACAGTACTGAAAATTGCAGAATCACCCCTATACTTAGTCCATCTTCCTACCCGCTCCACCCAAATCGCAAATTTGACCCCAAAGTGGATCTTTCTTTCAATATCCAAAATATCGGCCACATTTACGAGAATTCGCAATACCGAGCATAAAACCTTATAGTTTGCGAATCAAATCTTACGATTCAATTCATTCATATCTATGTCGATTCAAATGTTAAAATAAATCTTAAATATCAACAAATCGATCAATTTTTACGATTTTTGGTCCCTATATTATATACCTATTTCGCATCGCACGCGCTGTCATTCAGGTAGCCTTTAACGGAAGGAAGAAAATTAACTCCTGATTAATCAGCTTTCGTTAACACAAAAACGAGTTTGTATTTTGACAGTCATTTGTGCACCAGCAAATTCCCTTGTTTCTAAGGGAGTGGACCCCACACCACCCTCCGTAGACAACTTCAAATCGTCACTTCCCATAGCCACATTAGACACAAATTTTACCTAATCGTAAAAAAAAGATAAAAAAAATGCAGCCTAAAAATCGATAATGAAAGTATGTCGAAAATACATAATACGATAAGTTCTCGTATTCACCCGAGGCACCCGGCACGTTTACACCCTTAAGTTTGCACTAATTCTACATTTGGTCCCTCATGTTCACGGAAAACACATTTAGTCCCTCATGTTTCAAAAATTGAAAACTGTTGGTCCTTTCTGTGAATTTACCGTTAGTTCGTCAGTTAAGATAGTGATGAAAACATGCTTGATTCCGTTAGTACTAACGGAAAATTAACGAAAAAGTCTAAAAGTGTTGAATTTGTAAAACATGAGAGACTAAATGTGTTTTTTGAAAACATAGGGGGCCAAATGTGAAATCGGTGCAAACTTGAGGGGTGAAAAATATGATTTTTCTAATAAAAATTGGTCGTGGACTCGTGTTACAAGTTACAACACGCACGACGCGCCTAATTAGTTATTATTGTTATTATTATTATTATTTTCGAAAATTACGATTCTAGTTTTTAATGATTTTTTTTTTTTCATAGGAACTATCAGAAGACAGAAATTCTCCGATTTTAATTCATGAAAAACCCCATTTTCCCCCAAAATATACTCTTATGATTAATAGCAGGGTTTTTTTTGCAAAAACCACCCCTGCGTTATCTCGAATTGCCGGAAAACCACCTGTGATAAAATTATTAGCAAATACCCCCATACAAAATTTAGTCAAGGTCACAAAACCCCCTGACAACTTTTCGTGTAGCGCACGCGCAAATTATGCGAATGGTTGTGTATTTTGCGTCAAAAGATACCCTTAAAAGTCAAAAATACCCTTAAGTTCATCAAAGAACCGAACGACGTCGTTTTATATCATCTTCCCCATATATTGGGGTTTTGCTCGTTTTCTTCCCCCAATTTCTTCTGTTCATATTCTGCATTTCCCAGGAAATTAGAGAAATAATGTCTTCTCACACCTCAAGCAACGCGACGAAGAGAAAAGAACGCAAGCCATATATGGATCTGAGGTATCCATATAACCCATTTTGTTTATGCAATTTGAAATCTTGTATAAGGGTGGTCAAAACTGCAACAAAACCATCAAAAGGAAGATTGTATTATTTTTGTCTGTTTCGTCAATGCCAATTTTTCCGTTGGTGTGACCCGTATCGAGCAACTTGGGAACCCATTGGGGTGACCGTACAATATCCAGGTTGGGAATATGCTGAGCTCGCTTTGCCAGATGATATCGAAGAGCCAGATGAAGTTATTTCTAGAGCTAGCGTCGAAGAGAAAAAAGAAAACCATCGGCATGATCGAATCTTGTTGAAAATCTCATGGGTTATATGTGTAGCATTGTTCGCCATTGTTCTGGTGTTGTTAATGAAGATTTGAAACCTTTAATCAATCTAATATATTTTATTCAATGCAAGATATAATGTAGTGTTGTTGTTTATCAATGTAATATTGACAATGTTATTTATTCAAGTATTATTGAGAGTTTGAGATGTTATTTGTTCATTATTTGTTCAACTTTGCAATGGTAAAATTCTGTAAAATTTTGTAAAATTTTCTAATTTCCCTGTATTTGGTTACCAAATTAGCAAATAACCCCACATATAAACAAATATCGGCAACCACCCCCCTATGATTTGAAATTAATTAGCAAATACCCCCCTATGTTAATGAAAATTGGCAAGTATCTCCACTGTATTTTCAATTTCCCTGTATTTGCCAGCAACAACCAATTCATATATCAACAATAACCAACAAGCAACATCTAAAAATAAACAATAACATAAAATTCAACTGCAAATAACCAATCCATAAAAAAACATCAAAATATCTCAAACAAACAACAATATTTTTCAGAAACAGCCAACAACAAAAAAATAATGTTCAATAGACATTACAGGCTGTTACAATTGCATGTTCAATAGACAACCAACATTTCATCAAGAAACCATCACAGGCTGTTACAATTGCATTAAAAACCCAAAAAAAACCAGCAAAAGTCATCAAAAAACATGTTCAACTTTCAACACATGTAAGTCAAACTTTCCAAATGCGCTTCTTCTTGGCAGCCTCCCTAATATTATGAAGGACTTCGGATATTTGAGGCTTCCTTTTGCGCACAGAAGGCTGCAAGTGGCTCGAAAGAGGTCTTGATGTAGTCTTTTGGTCCAGAGACTGCATGTATCATATATGCATAAACCTTCAAGTATATATCTTTTTTATACCACAACTCCACATAGTCCTCAATCCTATACCTCCTATCTGCAATGGAAGCCCATGCATGATGACAATGATACCCATTTAATTGAAACAGTCCACATGTGCATGTTCTGGTAGCTAGGTCCACGACGTATCTGTCATTATGAATATCCACTTCAAATTCTTCTTGTCCATGCCATCTTGGAAAACAATTTCTTGCAAGTTGTTGAGACTTGTTGATCTTCTTCAAGATATTAGGACAAATAGACCCTTCATACTTCTTCATTCCAGCCTTTTTTGTTTGAATTCTGCTTGTCAATCTACTTCTGATCCACTCAAACATGCTAATGATAGGCTTCTCTCTAGCCTCAAGGATGTAGCTATTGAAGGATTCACACAGATTGTTTACTAACACATCTGTCTTGCAGCTTCTTGAGAAATAAGATCTGGCCCAATGACATGGAGGAATTTTTCTTAGATATTCTACTGCAGCTTTATCAAACTTGCCAATCTCCACCATAACTGCTTCAAACTCATTCTTGTTGCCTGTGGAAGCAGGTCTCCGTAACATTGTTTTCAGCTCCAAAGCTGGCCATTTTTGCTTGAAATTCTGGTAGATGTGCCTCACACAAAACCTGTGATCACAACCAGGGGGAACATCTTTAATAGCTTCAAGAAGACCTTTTTGCCTGTCAGAAATGAAGGTCCATTTCCTTTCTTCAACACCTCCAATTTCTTCTAGCAACTCACGCAAAAACCATGTCCAAGATTCTCTGTTCTCAACTGGAACCACAACTAGGGAAATTGAAAAAAGGTTATCATTCCCATCCCTTCCAACAGCACAAAGGAGCTGCCCTCCATGTGGTGTTTTCAAAAAACAACCATCTAATCCAGTTAGTGGACTGCATCATGCAAGAAATCCCAACCTCATTGGGGGAAGGCTGAAATACATCCTCTCAAAGATTGGAGGATCTGAATAAAGAATCTTTCTCAGCAATAACTTAGCACCAGGATTTCTAGCTCTAACAGTTTCACAGTAATCCCACAGGAGACTGTATTCTTGAGCATCCTGTCCC